ACTGAAAAATGCATTTTGTAGTTGTAAATGTATAAATAACCATAATAAAATAATAATTGATTAAAAAATGTAGTTTTATTTGCACTTTACCTTTGAGGATAGACGACGGTGGAGGTGAAAACTGGTGGCAGAAGAGAGGGAGAAGGGAAATGATACTAAAACTTAACTTACATAGCATAATGTAACAATAACTTAAAAATAACTTAGAAAAGATAAAAAAATTAGTGTTGTTTTATATATATATATATATATATTTGAATTTTTATTCACTGCTTTTTGCTTTCTTTCTTCACTTCCACCATCACTTTCACTGGATAGAGTGAAACTGCTTGTTACTGCTTGATAAAATATCTATCAAAAGAAGTTTGGCTTTGTCTACTTTTTAAAATGTTTCTAAAATGACTTAGGCAAATGTCATTACTCTGAGCAGCAATACAGCTAGTGTGAACCTTTTTTGGGATGTTTCTTTTCAATAAAATCAGTCACTTTCTAATAATACCACAAGATTTTCTTTATCGAGTGAGATCCTTCCGCGACAAAGCAAACACGCAGACTGAGACAAATGAACAGAAGTGAATAAAAAATGGCGCTGCGAACTAATATAACATCGTATGGTAAGTTTTTGTTAGTATCGTGGAGCAAAAATATGTTTGAATTTCATGTCGTATCCTGAAAATTTCGTATGCTGGGCTGTTCGTATCCTGAGGTACCACTGTAATAATAATTACAAAGTTTTAAAACTTAAGGAGTATATTTAATTCTAAATGTTAAGATCTTCAAGTTCATGATAAATATTTTTAAGCATCTAACTATGCTTTTGCTGTTTTAAAAATCTAAAGCTCAGATGAGACTTTGAAACCTTATCATAATATACAAGTTCAAATCAATGAAAAGTATTGTGACCATAAGCTGTTTTTCAGAAGCTTATACACTAATGCAAAACAAATACAACTAAAATTCAAGGAAAAACAGTAAACATAAATATGCCAGTTCTTTGAAAATGAGTTTTAGACTTAATTTAAGGACTATTTTTACCATAAATTGTGAAAAGAATGGCTTAAAATTTAAAAACTTTACATATAGAATTATTGTTTAGAAAACAGACCACTCTTAAAAATTATACTGTTGTTTATTTTTGAATGGAATTTTGTGTGTTTAAATTTTCTTTGGTTTCAAATTCAAATCTTCAAATTTTTGCTGAAGTTTAGACTGACAAATGGAATTTTGAGATCAATACAATATTTACAATTTGTAGTGAACTTAGTGTAGTTATATTTTAATGAAGAGACTGCCTAAACTTAGCAACTTACAGGGTGCATATTTTAAAGTCCTTTTACACTTACATAACTGACATTGCAGATAGCTATAGTTATGGACATGATGTAGCACATAATCATTTTACTATGACTATAAGATGAGATTGCTTGCAGCACTCCTGGCAGTAAAATATGGAAATTAGCACTTCAATTTGAAAACAATACATAGTACAAATTTGTAGAGCATGACTGATTTAGTATTAAAGGAACCCTATGTATATGAATAGGGTGAATAGAAAATGTAAAATGCTAATTTGTCAGTATTTAATTCATATTAAACCTTCATTGATAATTGTGTTACAAAGAAGTAAATTGTGAGAAATAGGGACAGAATAAGAAATATACATTTGTATCCAGGACAGAATTCATTGTTGATTGGAATAATTTACCATGGCCATCTAATGCACAATTCTACTTCCATGCTTCTGACACAGTGATGTAATATTGATAGGAAAGAAAATGACAAATTAGCATTTCATGCTTTCTATTCACATTATTTATGTATGTTGGATTCCTTTTGTGCAAAACTGGTCCTGTTCTGCACTTTGTAATTGACTACTTTATCTGCATTATTGACAATTTCAAATGGAAGTGAACTTAATTGAGGTGAAGCATTAGCAAAGCCTCTTCTATATTGCTTACAGAATTGTGTTCATTTTCAAAATCTGTTTGATTAAACTTTGCCATTTTCCATTAATTGCATGATGAGAAATCCAAAACTGTAATAAAAAATGGTTCATGACTGTGATTTTGAGATATAAGGTTGTAGCACGATTTCACATAACAAAGCAATATTGCACGAATCATGCAACTTTGTCATGCAATGGTCCACAGTTGCTAGCTAGCACATCTATGGGCTTATAGAGTTGAGTTTGTTCTCAAAAAATAATGAGCCAATTTTGATAAAATGTGGCCATTTTCTATTAATTGCAAGGAGAAATCCAAAAATGTATTGTGGGTCCATTTAAATGTAAAAAATAAGAGTACATGACTTTGTTTTCGATATACAGAGGTATTAGGCCTAAAGTGACAATGTTCATTATATCTGATGCAACTGTGCATACTTAACAGAATTTAAGCCTAGGGGCCAAAAATAAAATTGGCATTGCATGCACCTAGTGGAAAATATGCACAAAAAATGAACA